AGTACAAACCACTTTTGCATCAATTCATTCAGTTCCTTTTTTTTCAATGAGTCATTGTTTTAAGATTTTCACCTTTTTTTTTGTTTGTATCGAAGAACACGCAAAGAGCTTATGAAGACAAAAACTCGTCGGCGAGTGAAAATTTTTTTTTTTGAACGTTTTTCTTTTAAATTTTCGTCGTATGCACATATTGCCCTTGATTGTCTTATTGAATTAGACGATAAAATGATAATTGGTGCAGCCCGGCACGACACACTTTAACCTATGGCAGAAGAAAACTTTGAACATTACAAACCACGATCAGCGAATGTTACTTTTGGTTCAAGTTACGAGTTACTATTTGTGCTCGTTTTGACAACTTGTTACAGCCCTGCCTAACTTCATCAACCTCTTTACGCTTCTACAGATAAAAATCGACTTATGTCGAGGCCGAGTCTGTGGGCCCCGGACCCTTCGTCTCCGGAACAACCGCAGTTAGGAAGCTGAAATTTTATGAACATTACCCTTGACTTTATGTGAAATCGTAAACGTGATGTTAACTTACATTGCTACACCCTGTTCTGTGACTTTTAGGTCGAAATCTTGACAAGTTTCATGGGAAGAAAGCCAGGGAACCCGGACAAAAAGTGGTAATGAAGCATCAATTCTCATGTTTGAGTGCTCTCGGACTTTGAGTAGAAGTAGAAATTAGAGGGGATTTTTGTATTTTCAAGATGAAAAGAGCCAGAAATTTGGAATTTCTCACTGCTCGCAAGCATTTTCAGTGATCTAGAACCTCAGAATTTCAAGTTAATTGAATTTTGAGCCAAACCATGCCTAATGCATAGTTGAGCTTATGGCGAACCAAGCGATTTAAAAGTCATTTTAAATGCGAGTTGTTATTAGAATCCCAAACTATAAATTCAAAATTTTGGCGACATTCTTGTGCTCAGTCGATTAATAAAGGTTATCAAAACAAGCTTCTCTGTGTATTGGCTTATTCTGCACCCACCTGTAACAACTGTAATAATGGAAAACGCACAACCGCCACAGTTTTTTAGTGCCTCTTTTCACATCGGTTATGGGCTAATGCTAAAGTTCAATGGTGAAACAGTCTATGAACGCAAAATGTCATGCACAAATCGATTAAAAAAGCTCCCATGATGACTTATTCACCAACTGGTTACCCATAATAACACAAGTGCAAAACTATTGAGATCCCTTAGCAGCTGTTTTTCATGTCAAATTTAGGCCGTTAGTAAAAATAAAAAAAAAAAGCAAACCGTAATTTCAAAATTTTGAGTATCATTTGTAAGCTTATTTGTTGCTAAAAAGATCATTTTGATAATTTTCTTTATGTATTAGCTTATTCAACAACTGGGCGCTAAGTAATAGATGCAAAAAGCACAAACGCACAACTACTGATACCTTTTTTCACTCAAAATGCGGGCTGATATCGAAAATCCGCAGAGAAACAGTCCATAATTCTCAAATTTTAGCGTTTTTTGTACGTTGAGTCGATTAAAAAATCATCACAACGAACTCACTCATGTGTTGATTCATCGGGCAATTTCCACTATTCATGCATTTTGATGCACTGTTTTAGTGCCAAATATGGACCGATGCCGAAAATTCACAGTGCAACAATCCGCGAATCTCAAATTTTTGTGTTTTTCGCGTATTGAGTCGATTGGAAAATCATCATGACAAGTTCTCTTACATATTGGCTCACGCACCAGATGAACACCTGCAAAAACTTACAACCATTTCTTCCCTGGTGCGCCAACGGGTTATTTTCATGAAAATGTTGCATTTTTCCATAGCCATACATCGAAATGACGGGCAAATTGATGACTTCAAAATGAGTGATTTGTTTCGTTTTGCTGATTTCTGCAATAGACGAAGTCAAT